ACCTGAGTGGGTCTGTGACTTTAAATCCATCTATAAAGGGGTGTGCTGTCTGATGCAGAAACCCTAAAATGTGTCAGAATTATGACCACGAGGCTCACAGTGGTTACTGGGATTAAAACACATGTTTTGTGGTGCGTTTGATGACACGGATAAAATTGGACTCCGCAGCGCACCTGTCCAGGTGGCGGATTGTTGGTGCGCTTCACCCGGACGTTGATCTGCCTCCCCGAGGAGCGCAGGCCCTGGCTGTCCCCCGGTGACTCCCCGGAGCTCCTTCTCTTGGCTCTCCGGGCACCGGAGGCGCTCCCGGAATAATCTGTGCTAACAAAAACAAGCCGTGTGTGTTTTACAGAAGCCAGAACAAAGAACTCCTGTTAAAAAAAGGCCCTTTTCGTCACTGCTTAAGGCTTTTTATGACACGTGAGCGTATATGTACGCATACTTTGACCAAAGAAGGGGGAATCCATTTGTAAACACGGCACAGGTGGAGACACGTTCACATTACCCAGCTCTTTAAATGAGCCAAACAAATGTCAGCCTCCCACTTTAGCTTGTAGCATGTAGCGAACACCGACCTGCGTCCGAAAGCATCGCCACCAGCCGCTCCTCTTCACAACCCAGGGGTTTTTCACCAGCCGTTTGCTTCTCTAACGCCTCAATGATCTCCTGAAAGCGCGTCTCTTTTATTGTTGTGGGGAGAAATCAATGCGCCGCCGTTATAAAAGAGAGACTTCCTGTGTGAACGAGGAAATAGGCGTTTTGGTTCGGACCTTTTTGGACTCCGTTGCTCTCCGTACTGCTGTTGCACTGTAGCCATGGCAACAGCAGAAAGCTGTAAGGTCCGGGCATTGAAAACATTATAGTAAGATTCATCAAATCTTACTATAATGTTTAGATTTTTTAACTCTTCTGTTTTCCCCTCAATGTCTTCACTATCAGTACTTTCTGCACTTTCTTCACTTCGCTTTTACCTCTTTCTTTCAGCAGCTCGCTGTTTCTTACCACCCTTCCCCACCTTTTCCCACTCTTTCCCTTCATTTTGATCATCCATCTCTTCCTCTTCGCTATAATCCATACTTTTCCAGTCACTCCTTTCTAAATCCACCATTGCATTGTTCTGATTTAAATCCAAGCTAACAGCTGCTTTTGCCTGGATGCTTTGACTTTGCTACTGCTCTCCTCTGCTCCATTCAGTCCCACCACCGAAAGCTTCCGACGTTTCCTCGGCTGCCACGTCAGTCCAGCGCCCAAACTCTTCTCTCCAATCACGACCAGCCCACAGCTCGATCCACGCAAACTGACTCCTGTTGCGCTGCAACGGCACATAACCGGAACCATAGACTTAAGATGAAGCCGCGTTGAGACTGTTAGTCCGTTGCAAGGATACGTCTACGAGTCCGCCATCTTGGATGTGGCAGAACGCCCCATAAACTAATAAAAGAAAACGGAGTGAACTCCATAAAGCACCTTTCTCCAAAGTGCTTTAAGTTAATATACCTTATTCACCCATTCAACCACACACTAATATATCCGGGAAATAAATAGACAGACAGACAGACAGACAGACATACTTGAAGACATTAGCCAGACTCCAAAATCAGACTATAGAAACGTATTTCAGCGATACGCCGACAGACACCAACAGCCCAGTTTGGGATGGATTGCGCAATCATAGGTTCAGCTGCCGCACATCACGTTTCACCCCGTATTTCAACAGGAAATGTGCAATTTCAGCGATTTTGACAATTAAAATGATCGCAATTAGTCATACATAAAGATCGGCGGACAAATTATAATATGTCATCGTATGTTTTGTCTTGTGAGGATGACCGCACGTCCCATAAATATATTTACACAGCTATATAATTGCAGTCTCTGTGGCTGTGCAAGTTGAAAACCTTGGGAAAGAAACATTTTTCTCAGATTATTACGTACGTTGGCACTCGGCATGCCCTACCGGTAGCCCCCTACCGGACCCCGGCACCGGTAGCCCGGTGTCCCGGTAGCTCCG